CTCTCTCTCTCTCTCTCTCTCTCTCTCTCTCTCTCTCTCGGACACTCTTTATATGTTTTGCCATCAAGGAGTCTTTTTTTGTTGACTGTGTGCGATGGCAGGACTTGGCTATGGGTACATGACAATTTGCAAGCAATGGGACACAAGCAAGTTGAAAATTCGCGCGCTTTTTCAATGTGCTCACTGTGATGTGTTTGTGCTTTTGTTCCTTAAAAATGTATTGATATTATACTAATTATAGGCACACTGTGTTACAATAGCAGGGACTTTGCCGATAGAGGTGGTAGTGAAATTGTATACGATCTATGGCATCGCTTCATGATCTTGCTGACAGAGATGGTAGTGAAATTGTATATGGCATCTGCTCATGATCTATAGCATCTGTTCATGATCTATCCCTCTCGTCATCCGGTTGCATGCAAATTCGAGCTCAGGTCTGTATTTCAACGGTTCAAGGGTGTACCAACTGAGCAAGGCCTGATGCTCATGCTCTCTCCTATTCTCTCACTGCCTGTCTTTTTCTCCAGGAGACCTCTTGGTTTATGGAAAACCAAGTCAATGCAGTGGGAAATAATGTGCGCAAGCTCTGCAGTGAGTCGTCATGGTTCGTGGAGAACCAGGTGAATACAGTGAGCAACAGCGTCCGAAAGCTGTGCTCCGAATTTGTGCGAGAACTGTTGGTACCCACTGGAGCGTCTCCAAGTCCCTGCGCGGCCCCGCATGACGAGTCTCCCGTCAAGATATCCCCCCCTGCGTCCACTGGTCAAGTGGTGTGGCATCCTGCGAGCAACATTGATAAGCTTACGACAGAGAAGAAGGTTTGCGCATCCCAGACAGCATTGTCTTCTGCTGCTCTTCAGAGCAACCAGGCTGCAGAAACACCAGCAGCAGGTGAGCTCTTTTTTTTAAAAAGTAGAATGATTGATTTCTGGTCATCTGATTGCATATGGATTCGAACGTGGGTGTGTATTTCACCAGTTTGTGGGTGTACCAACTGAGCGAGGCCCATTGGTAGTAGGTGAGCTCTTTCTTTAAATTCTTTTGTCATCGTCTAAATGATAAACTACGATTGAGAAAGAAAAGGAAAAAAGAAAAACGATTGCACCCCTCCTTCATTGTGTCCTGTGATGCACCATTATTGCACCCAATAGAAAAATGATTCAATAATCGCTTTAGAAGTGTCGAAGCTTCTCGGTTTTCACCCCTTGCCTCCTCCCCTCTTGTTCCTTTTTTTTTTTTTTTTAATTTGGACCATTTCTCGATTCGTATGTGTCATCCCTGGGCAGGGGCCATGCTAATCTAAGTAATCTTTCTTCTCTGTATTGTTCCAATTTTAAAGGATGTCCCAAAGGACAGCCTCCCCTCTTGTTCCTTTTTGTTTTTTCCTTCTTCTCCCCCCCCCCCCCTCTTTTTTATGTGACCCGATGGGACACGGATCCGGTATCACACTGCTCAGAACAGATACTACATTTCATCTTACGTAGCCAACTGGCTGAGAAAGGTAATGCCTCCCACCATCTTATTCCTCCCTTCTTTACCTGCGCAATTCCCTCATGGCTCTCTCACAGACCTGTCATTCATGTGCTGGTCCTTTTGGTATTTCTCCCGCTCCGCCATCCCCCCTCCCCCCACCCCACCCCACCCCACCCGGCACCACCCACCTCTTCGTTGAACCTTCTTTTTTTTTTCAATCTTACAAAATAAAATAATAAATAATACAGCTGTCTTCTCCTCATATGGGGGCAGTTGTATGTCTCACCTCGAACCTTCTTGTTGGCCCCTGTCCCCCTGTTCCTTTCGCCCTTCTTATTGGCCCCTGCGGCCCTGCCCCCCCCCCTTTCCTTTCGCCCTTCTTATTGGCCCGTCCCCTTTCCCTTTGCCACTGGGGGTTGCAGTTCTCAGACCACCGTGAGCTCTGGTACTTCCCATGGGACATCAGTAGGCTGTGTGCTGTTTGTCCACCTCCTGGCATAAGATGGTCATGGATGCATTGTGATGCTGCAAAAAAACTTACCTATCGGATTTTGAAACTTTACTGATGGTTCTCTGGCAGTTACACCTCCTGCGTCTGTCAGCCACTCCAGGGGTGAGAGATTTTCCCTTTCGTTCGTTTTGGGATTCACAAAATTGACTGATGGTTCTCTGGCAGTTACGCCTCCTGTGTGCGTCAGCCGCTCCTGGGATGAGATTTTCCCTCGCGCTTTTTGCGGCGAGTTTGACGTCGTTCCGCTCCACCTGTTGCTGCTCTAAGGGGTTGCAAGTGGAGGGGAAGCAGGGGAGGCTGGGACTCTGAATATTGCACGGGGACTGTCGTTGGTGTGGCGGGCATCAAGTACTGTTTTAAGGTCATGGATGGTGTAAGGTCATGCATATTTTTTGACTGAAATGCTGCCACCATGTAATGTACGAATTGTTGGCTGAGCAGTGGTGGTCGTAGGGGCCTCCTCCCAAGCGCCTATCACGTGTGCGCACTTTCCCATTTGAGGTCATGGGAGGGAGAATGGGGACGGGTAGTGCACATTGAACTCGTCTATTGTCGGTTGGCTCTCTGACCATCTAATGGGTGTTCTGTCTCTTGTGGGCGCAGCGCCAAGCCAAGGACAAGCTTTCAAGGAACGGGACGAAAGGGCTCAGCAAACGGCGAAGAACCTGCGCCGTAGGCACTCCAAGGGCGTAGCAGACAAGAAGAAAGAGAACAGTCAAGGTGAGGATGTGGTCCTTGGAAGGCCTGTTGACTGCCTTCCTCTGAGGATGAGCAGCTGTGAGAAAAAAGTGGAGTTGTCAGCAGGGAGGGAAGAAATAAAGAAGGAAGCTGTGCGGGGACTCAGTGAGCAGCAAATTGTAAAGCGGGTGGAGGAGGAGAGTATGATGGAAGTGATCGCTTTGCCACAGACCATGGACAGCAACGACCGTGTGGTGGAGCTGGAAGGACCGGTGGTAAAACTGTCGGCGGAGATGTCCAAGGGTGCTGCTGGGTTGATGGCTGTCGAGGAGTCTAATCCTGGGTTCAGTGATGCTGTGGAAGAATTGCTAGATGATACCAGCGCCGCAGGGCTGACAGGCCAGAGTAGTCCAGAATCGTTGTCGCTGCCTGGAAGCACAGATGCCCCTGTTGTCGTCGGGAACCCTGACACGTGCCGCCAAGGAGGGATTACGAAGACTACGAGATCAGAAAGCGAGATTGATTTGGAGCTCCTCTCCGAGAGCGAGTTTGAGATTGCGCAAGGACAATGGTATGCGGAGTCCGATACAGAGTCTGTGGATCGGAAAAGATTGGGAATGGGCCGCTCTGCAAGTGCCATCTCTCTGGAGAGCCGAAGAAGTGAAACGGGCAACGACTTCACAGACTGGGAGCTTGTTTGAGCTTGAGCTTGGCCGGCCGCCGTTAGGTATTTCAGCTATACTATACTTCATATGGCCACTGTTTGTTTGGGCCAGTTGCTGACTTGCCGACCTTTGTTTGGGGTACAGCTTGAGGCTTTATTTGTGATACGTACGGCTTGCCGTCTTCCTGCTGCAGTATTTCAGACTCGCACGGACATATCGTCTCTCACCGAGGCTTTCCCCTCCGCCCTCGTAGCTGTCAGCCAGAAGGATTGTCAGGGATACGTGTCAGAGGTCAACCATTCTCTTCCAACCACACTTCTTTCCCTTATAGGTTGATGGTATAGAACATTGTTTTCCTTTGTGCCGGGCCTTGGGAGGCGAGCAGGACCATCATCACCTAGTAGCCTATCTTGCAGCTGTTAAATTCCATGTCCCGTCCACGCTTGTCCCGTCCACGCTTCGAATCAGGAGTGCATGTGTCATCAGCCAAGGATTGCAGTCAAAGGCTTACACCACAGCAGGAGTGCATGGGTGTGGAGATGGAAAATGGTATCTCAAGCCATGCAGGGTCCTCTCACTAAATGCGTCATGAAGGTGGTGCGATACCTTCTTCATGTTGACGCTTGAGAGCACACACGCTGTGCACTGCAGAGATGCACGCGCGTTGACGACACACACGCTGTGCCGTGCAGAGATAGATGCATGCGAGCGATGTGGGGATCTCGTATAGATTCCAGAATTGAGCAAAGGCGATAATGAATTGCTTAAAAAAGACAAAAAAGAACACGATTGCCACCAGTCGTTCCGCTACGCCCTTGCTCTCTATGGCTGTAGACTCTGAGGAAAGGTCTGTATGAGGTGAAACCTAAGTCTCAGCAAAGGTCTGTAGATGTAAAACCTACATGTACTCCTGGCTTGCTCTTATGATTTGCGGCCACTCTCACTGCTACTCAAGTCCCTCAATGTACCCTTCTTTTTGGGTGACACTTCCCCCCCCCCCACCTCCCTCCCCCTTCCCTGCTTTTTTCGTGTATAGTGTAAATAGGAAATGCACGATAGATGCAGCAATCACAGAGTCGTGTATAATGACATTGTCGTTGCCGGATTGACATGTAGCAGTATCCATTTTCTTGTAGATGTGATGGACCACTCGACGAGCAGCAGTTCATCACCCACACTTGAGGCATTGATATACAACTCTCGTAGTGCAGAGCTCCGTAGTGACTGGGGGCTTCAATGACAAAGGGATGACCCTATGTAGTCAGTGATGTAGTTGTTGTTTCTCCTCCGCTTTCTGTAGGTTCATGATCTTCCAGGGGAGCTAAGCCCGAAGCTTCTAGCATGAGGGTGAACCACACGGTGGATCACAATGGGTTTAGTGTAAGTTGACTGTGATGCTGATCTCCTCTCCATTTCCATCGCAAGCCAATGTACGTATGTGGCTGTGCAGTTTCACGTTTGACTTAAGATCCCGTCTGTTGTGTTCGTTGGGTGGTCCCATGCTCAAGCTGTGTGCTCTTTTGCGCTTGCGGCAAACAAACACTCATCGTATATGCTTGTCGCTTAAATCTTGTCTGTGTACATACACATCCACCATGTTAGGATGACACCTTTGCGTGGTTGTGTCCTGTAGCTCGCCCGAGATGTGTCTTGCGAGCAACCTGTCGATTTTTGAAGTGCGTAGGTTCTTTCTTTACGGTACCTCGATATTTGTGTCTTTTGCCGGTGAGGGAGGCACGGTCGGGCTGATTCCGGACGCCTTGCTTGGTAAGGCGTCAAACCAGGTTCTGACTAGCAGACCTGGATCCGTCACTCGGGCAGATGGGCCAATCCCAATCTGATGGAGGGAACAAAAAAATCGTGTGTGACCAGCCAGTGCGAATTCCACTGTCTTGTTTAAATGGACAATCCTTCCTGCCTGCTGCCTGCTGCCTGCTGCTATGCTATGTTACATTTCTATTCCGCTATTGCTGGGCCGATTCAGGGCTGATCTCAAAGTGATAGGGCCTGTGTGTGGAGAGAAAGACGGCACCGTTCCATTGACTTATGTTGTCGGGGCAAGGCCGGGGCAAATCCCAGAGAAAATGCTTTTGGGCTGTTGACATGCATGTACTCTCGTCGTCTGGGAGGCAGAAGCGGCCATTCGAGGAGTTGCACCTGTGCGGTGGTCGCTACGAGGCATCAGTGTTCGTTCGTCGACATGGGAGGAATCTCGCCTGCGGCATGCCAAGGCATCAATCAGTTTGCGTTCGTTCACATTGGGAACTCGCAAAGCATCGCGCAACGGATCCCATGGATGTGATCTACCTCGCCAGGAAAGCATTTCCATCATCGGGAAATGAGCCGCGAGTTATTCTGCTCAGTTTTTCTCCAAGCCTCCCTCAAGGGCACTGTGCTGGAACCATTAGTTAGATGATTGTATTCGCAAGTGCACTTATGTGTTTTCTGCACAGGAGGAATGTGGGTGGCAACTGTCAGATAGGTCCATGTGTTGGAGCATGGCCCAGTAAATATGGATCTGTCGTGTTCCAGCTGGTTGAGAGGAACCAACCAAGCATATGATTTTTTGTGCAAGGAAATGTGTGTGTAGTTGCTTTCGGCAGCTACATCAACAACAGCATGGACGACGGCGACCCCGGAATATGGGAGCAGTGCTTTATGTTTGTTTTTTGGCTGTGGAGAATGCAAAGGATTTCGTGCTCTGTCGCGGTCGGGAATGTGTCGCGGTACAAGCGTGTATGCCTTCATTGGTTGTCTCATCGGTTTCCTTGACAATGGCTCTCAGAACGGTGGGGTGAGATTTTGCGCCCCCGCCTAGACCCAAGGTTATGTGGACAGCAGAGTGGTTTACGAGGGTGGCGGCCGGTGGGTGTCGGGATATGTTTTCCGTCCGAAAATGAAATTGCACCTATGCGATACGCATTCCAGACCAGACCATGTTGCAGCAGTAGTGCTGGGGTGATGGGTGGGTGCTTTTGTAGATGTTGGTTGATCTTTCGTCATATGGTTTTGCTCTCCGAGGTTGGGGAGGAAGGAAATGTTTTTCGTCATACGGTTCTGGTATATCTGGATGTGCTTCTTGTGTGGATGTGGCACCCTGGTAAGAAGGACTGTGATGTCTGTGAAAACATTTTACGCCGTCCGATAGACTGTTCCAAAATGTGACTGTCGAAGGAGGATCATGAATTGTGTGCCGACGTTCTGTCTGTTGCGCCAGAAGCAGCAGCAGTAGCAGGGGGAGGGGAAACAAGATCTCAGGACTGGTCGGGGTCGCACAAAAACTGCTGTGAGGACAGCAGCACAGAGCTAGCATAGCATGTGGGACTAGCAAGATGAAGCGGGCGTATTGGTGGAAGTGGGCGCACGGTGGTTGAGTTGTCGCAACGAATGCTACAATGTGTTTTAGCTGGTAGTTGAAAACGTACTGTGCTACAACGCTTTTAGCTGGCCGTTGGACTTTTACTGATAATTTAGCAACATGGAGATGGCCGTGCCACACGACACCCTCAGTCTTCGAACTAACTGAGTCTCCTGGACATCGCGTATGAAAGAAAGAAAAACAAAAAGCCAAAAAAAAAAAAGACAGTCTGACAGACAGATTTCCGGACTAATTTTCCTGGACATCATGTATGAAAAAAGAAAAACAAAAAACGAAAAAAAAAAGGACACACAGATAGACAGCGGTAATGTTATCCCTATTGCCTGCATGATGTGTTTGGTTGGCTATTGATAACCTACTGTGCTACAATGCTTTTAACTGGTGGTTGAACTTGTAATCTTTTACTGATAATTTTCAGCCTCCTGACGAGTCGGTGAAATTCCAACGAAACAGTTTGTCACAGTCCCTCGTTTGTTGTCCTCTTCTCCCTCTCTGCCTACGGTTTACCGGGCAGTTCTGTTTGACTATATGTATATACATATATATACAGGGTTGCCAGGCCGAACGTACGGAGGCCCCTAAGCTGACCCCCGAACGTTCCGGCGTTCGGGTCCCCGTACGGGGCCCGAACTTGAAGGGGATCGGACCCCGCAAAAAAATATTTTGGCACCTAAATATTATTATGTTTTTCTGAAAATGTTTTTTGTGAGTTCTTTGCGACTCCCGCTTAATTTTTGAAGTCATTCTGTCCAGCCAAAAAACAAAATGAAAAATCCTTTTAAGATGGTGGTGTCAAAACTTGCTTGCCCACTCAATAATTTGTTTTTTCTCTCTTTTCACTTTTTGTTTTTTCCTTTATGTCGGGGCATGAAAAAAATTATTATTATTTTAAGCTTTATTTGTGGATTCTCTATTATGTAAGGTACACATATATAAATTTTCATAGCATTGGCAACAGCCAAAAAAAAAAGAAAAATTGCCAAAGATGGCGGTGTCGAAAACGTGCTCGCCCACGTATTTTTTCACTTTTTACTTTTTGTTTTCACTTTAGTTCGGGGTCTAAACAATTTTATTATCTTTTGAAACTTTTTTAGTGGGTTCGTTCGGGTTCGGGCGTTCGGCCCGTCCCGAACGTCGGTTACCCTGTGTATATATAATCGTCAAACAGAGTTGCCCGGCAAAACCAGACGGATCAAAAAAGAGGCAAGGATCCCTCCAAATGAAAAAAGACTTCATGCCTGGACTGTGTTTGGCCTAAGCAGTCAGAATCTGGTCTTAACTTCGGTTTTGGTGATGGGTCATCCAGGGGGGGTTGGGGGGTAAAAACAGTGACTGAAGGGCTTAAAAGGGTACATTTGGACTCACGCTTTCTCATTTATTTTTATCTGGAAATAAAACCACCAGTACTTCCTGCAGTCGTGCCCGTTAACGCGCCACGATTTTAGGAAATGTACGGGCTACTACAGGAGCGCCCAAATTCATCCGACTAGAAACATTTATACTCCTTTTTTTTTCCGCGGCCGAAAGCTGGGCCAAGAACTGGTGGTTTAACAAGGAATCTCGAGGTGGCCCTCTGCCAAAAGTCGTTTGTATTGCAATTTTACACGATATTTTTTTTTTCGGAATTTTTTTTTTTTTTTTTTTTTTTTTACAGGTCCTTATGGTTCTGGGGAGCACGAGTCCGGTTCCTATTCCACCGCCAAATCAGAGTAAAATGTTACACCAAGACACACACTCACACTTCCTTCCATCTGGCCAAAGGACCCCTGACCAGCATTGATTACTCCATCATCGTGAAGGATTGACCGTCAGCTTGCTTTACTTCCACCTTTCCTCTCAGGTCCACATCATGAGCCTGTCAGATAAATAATAAAGAGCAAGAAAGCTGTGCATAGGATGCAATCTCAAAGTTTGCCGTTCAATATTATGTGGCCTGTGATGGATCTTGTCCATCTGCTGACTGGGATCTCTGTCTTCTTCGCCATGCTTCTGAGTTGTGCAAGTCTTTCCACCGTATGCAAAGGTCATTTATCTCCGCTACTTTGCCCCTGCGAGCCACACCTTAGTGAATTTTGCCTTGATTCTTCTTTGTTGCTCTTCGTCATCTGGCATGGAGTCTTTCGTCTTATCTCCGTCACTTACAAGGAATCTCAGCCTGGATCAAGGTCCTTGTCTCCCCGCCCATACCTTCTCCCTTGGAGTTGAGATGAGTCCCGCAATGGTTCTGTAGCCCCTTTCCTTCCATATGGACCACAGCGTTACCTTTCCTTCCATGTGTCATTCCGAAGATCCGAGGAGCCTGGCATGTTTTCTCCGTCTTGTGGAATTGAACTGGGATGTTAGTCCATAGAAGGAGTTGGATGGGGTGCTCAGGGAGGGGGGTCGAGAAGAGGCAATCCCAGAGATCTGAGGCCTGTTGCCTCTCTACAGCGTATCAGGCAATGTAGCATATCATCTGGTTCATTGTCTGAACATACCGCACATAAATCTGAACTGTTGGGGTCATTCTTACTTCTTCTGATATGCAGCCACTGGTTAACCGGTAGAGCCACATATGAGGTGAGCCATTTGAGGCTTCTGATTTTGACCGACGGATTGATTTGAAATTTGTCCATGGTATTTGTGGGATGAGACTAGCGTCCTGGCCGGGAGGGTGCTTACGCGACCTTCCCCCAGCCGAGCTACCCGGGGACTAACACAGTATATATATGGTTTGTCACAGCCCCTCGCTTGTTGTCCTCTTCTCCCTCTCTGCCTGCGGTTTGTCGGGCTCTGCCTACAGTTTGCCGGGCAGCTTTGTTCGAGGATGTTCACAACGACACTTTCGCCCTCATCCTTGGACATAAATGGGCCGTCATCCCTTTGTTTTTCAGCCCCCTCAAGGGCCTCAACCTCCTCATACCCCAGCTCCTCCCGTCTCCCTTCCTACCACATCTATTGCTGCTCCGTCCACTCCTGCATCAGCCGATCCGTCTCACACTGCACCCCTCTTACCAACACCCATTGACTCTCATGCTGCACCCCTCACTCTGTACCTCTCTTGCCAACACCTTCGGTGAGGTCGTTTGCTGTTGGTCTTTGTCTGGATCCCCAACTCATAATTCATACCTCACTGCATCGCCTTCTCACTGAAGTTGCTTCGGGTAACTGGTGTTGTGTGAAGGCTGATATTCAGCAAAGCGACACCAGCATGGCGGGTACACCTTTTGCAATGGCTTTCAAACAATGTCTCCAATGCGGACATGATAGCAGACATTCAAAATCTCAAATGCCTTCATCTGAAAATACCAGGACACCTGCCAACGTTAGATAACCTAACCTCGTGACTCGTTTACTGACCACATCAAGGCCGTACATGCACATGTGGTAGTTCTTGCTACGAACTTGCGCCATATGTTACAATTGCCAGAAGTAGCTGCATTTTAACCCGACCCTCGAGCATCCACAAATGTTTGTGGATGTCGCAGTACCTATTGGGATTGTTCTGATCTTGTGGATGACCATATTGTGCTAGTTGACTACGTCTTCAATGACAGCCTTCGCAAGTTGTTCCAAGAAGGTTCTAAGTATTGCTTGAATGGAGAAACTGCTGACATGCTCCTGGCCTTGACAATGAGAAAAGGTTGTTGGCCAGACGCTCGTGATCTACTTCTTGCTCGTCTCTTTCTCAGAAATTGAACAGCTAGCGCTCTGCGACCCTCTTGCATTGTCAATCAAACACATATTCGTTCTCCAACCGTGTAAGCCAGTTACGCTCATTCTATGCATGCCTCCTTGCACCATCTTCAACAATGCTTTTCCATTGTCCCTGTGAACAAAACATCACACAATTTGGCAATGTGCTGCAATAATTATCTGTTTCATCTGTCTACCCATTTGGACAGTCCCACGTATACTTGCCCTCATGAATTTGTTGTTGATGTCCTTGGCGGTGGCCATGCAATATGAAATTGTCATTGGGGTTACACCAACACTGATACCCTACCTCACGTCAACTATGGGCCCAGAGTTAACAAGTCTCCCCCAGCTCTTCGCAGCATTCTTGGAGTTACAACACAACATAACATTCTTGCTCCCCCGCTCACTCACCTTCACCCAACAACTCACACCATTCATGAATGACCTCCTCACAAACCATTGACTAGTATAACGACTGCTTCGTTGTATCTCAGTGTTGCTTTGCAAGGAGTGATCTCCAAGATTCGCGAGAATGACACCGAGCTCTATTAATGGGTTGGTGTTCAACGGTGTTGGATCGTTCAGAGCGCTGAGGAAGTGGCGATTGACTCAAAAAGCAATGTATTGTTTCTTTGTGCCCTCCATCCTGGCATTGTTGATTGTACCATAATGTACATTGTACACCAACCTTCCTCATGACCGCATTTTGAATAATATGGCAAACACTGTTGATGAAGCTCATGCTTATGTCCTTTGGCATACTTGCACGTGTTTATGGTGCAATGCCCTAAACATCGTAATTCCCAGACCTCGTTGTGGCCAACAGACAACTGATTCAGGCCCACACACCCTTTCTGTTACGCAGGTCCTCCGATTATCTTCGCTTTTTTTGTTGTACAAAACATTTTTCTTTACACTAGAGATGGTAAGGTTTGGAAACAAATCATCAGTATCCCAGTGTGAACAAATATGAAACCGATCAGAACAGATGCTATACTTGATCTTAGTGAAAAAACTAAGAAAGGTATCCAATAGGAACATATACTGACCCAAAAAAATTTAATTTGACGCTATACTGGGATAAACTTCGATAAAGTACGTTTTGTTGATGGCATTCGTCAACATGATCTTCAAGCCGCTCAACAATACACCTTCACTTATCGCCTCATTGACGATGTTCTATCATCGGGTGACTCAATTACCTCCTCCACCAAAGTACTTTTTAGGCAACTACATCGACAGATGACTCGTGTATCTTTTTAGGCATACATCTACGACTCCATTCTGATGGCTTGCTTCGCATAAGCATCTTTGATAAAGTGGCTGCTTGGGACTTCCATGTTTTCATTATTAAAGTGCGACCTGCAACATTCCTTCCCATCAACCGGGTGGTGTGTTCATTGGTCAATTGACCAAATTTGAGCAAATTGTCAAATTCGTAACTATCGATCGATGAGACTCTCCAACTGTAGCATGGGTTGTTGTGGTCCCTTTGTTCTAAATGGTAGTATTATCTCATATGCCGCCTTCAGACAGTCCGGGGATCTGCAGGGAGCCACGACAAAGGGTTTTTTTTTTTTTTTTTTTTTTTTTTTTAACGCTCCCCCACCAGTTTTAGTGGTGCTGATAAGAGCAGACATCTGCAAATGGCTGACCAACATCATTTGGATGAGCAACAAAATTTTTCCCCACCACGCGCAGACCACATGGGTGATCTGCAAATGGTTGACCAGCAAACAACCCAACACATTTTAGGCTTGCATCACGAGCA